GTGTAGTACTTTAGGTGGATGTGGATTTAAAGGAAACTTATTTCATTCCTTATTTGGCTTTCGAAGACGAATTACAGATACTTTAGTGTGGCTTAAAGTTGCACTCAATAAATATACGGTCAAACAGATTCAGCAGGTTTGGCAATGAAGAATTCAGTTGTCAGTAAAATAACATCTTCTCCAAGTCGATCATTGTACTGTACCTCTCAAATCTTAACTGAATTGATTTTAAAATTTTGTCATTCTCAAAATATGTCGGAGTGAAGTTTTATGATATTTTCCTGTGGCTAGGGGCTAATATTAGTATACAAGGATACACAAATGCTGAGTTGTACATAAATCTGTTCACTGTGCACTGGCACTAGATTCTCTCTCTCTCTCAACACTTATCTGTTTTCATTTCTCTGTGTGAACTTAATTCTGTCTTTTTTATGTCTGCACATTTGTCAGCTTTTCTGTCTTAATTGTTCTCTCCATCTTTCTGCATTACAGTGTGCTATTTTTTTCTCGTCTTTATTATAACAACCATCTTTTTGCCTCTTCTGTAGAGAGTTAAAGAACAAAGACACGGGCCTCGACCTGAGTGTTCCAACGCACAAAGTCATCCCCGGTTTAATACGAAGCACGGTAGAGTACCATGTGGTTGTGGTGTCCGAGCTGCATTTTTTCAAGTCTCCGAAACACCGAGAGACAGATGTTGTCCAGTACATGGTAAGCTATTCTGTATTGAAAATCCTCGCCTCTGAATTCAGGGATTTTTTTTAAATAATAGAAAAAAAAAATGAAAGTATTATCCAATACATGGTTAGTTATTGTGTATTGAAAATCCTCGCCTCTGACTTCAGGGATTTTTTTTAAATAATAGAAAATAAAATGAAAGTATTATCCAATACATGGTTAATTATTGTGTATTGAAAATCCTCGCCTCTGACTTCAGGGATTTTTTTTAAATAATAGAAAAAAAAAAATGAAAGTATTATCCAATACATGGTTAATTATTGTGTATTGAAAATCCTCGCCTCTGAATTCAGGGATTTTTTTTAAATAATAGAAAAAAAAAATTAAAGTATTATCCAATACATGGTTAGTTATTGTGTATTGAAAATCCTCGCCTCTGAATTCAGGGATTTTTTTTAAATAATTAAAAAAAAAAATGAAAGTATTATCCAATACATGGTTAGTTATTGTGTATTGAAAATCTTACCCTCTGAATTTAGGGATTTTTTTTAGATAATAGAAAAAAAAAAGTATTATCCAATACATGGTTAGTTATTGTGTATTGAAAATCCTACCCTCTGAATTTAGGGATTTTTTTTTAATAATAGAGAGAAAAAAATAAAAGTATTATCCAATACATGGTTAATTATTGTGTATTGAAAATCCTGCCCTCTGAATTCAGGGATTTTTTTTTTAAATAATAGAAAAAAAATGAAAGTATTATCCAATACATGGTTAGTTATTGTGTATTTTTTTTCAGATTCCAAAGTTGTTCAAAGATTTTGAAGAGATGTATGAAAAACTGGACCAGTGTTTTTCCGGCACCGCCCTTCCTCCGTTGCCTGGTAAAAAGGTTCTCATGAACGACAGTGCCATTACAGAGAGGAGGGTGAAGCTGGACGGGCTGCTGAAGTTTTTAGCTCAGACTCCAAAGTTATGTACCTCCCCCATTTTGCTGGAGTTTTTAGGTGAGGAAAGACTTAATTGCCAAGGTTATAAGGCAGACCCGTAGCCAGCAATTTCAAAAGGGGGGTTCTTTTTCTGAAAAAGTGGACCTTTTTCCATAAAAACTTCATGTACCTAGATCAAATTTTACCCAGAGTGGACCTTTTCCCGGCAAAAGGGGTGGTTCTTTCGAACCCCCCGAACCCCCCCTGGCTACGGGCCTGTAAGGTCACATGGGCACATCTTACTATCAGGAGTAGTGTAACAGCTCTCTCATGGAAATCCTAGTCAACCAACTAGATCGACCTAACTCCCTGGATGGTTCATGCTAAATAGCTGTCAGTCGAGCAGGCACAAAAGTTAATTACCCCCTTACAGCTTGTAGTAGGCGGGACGGACATTTAAGCCAGATTATCTGACAGTAATCTAGTGAGACTCCCCGTGGGGATAGATCGATCTAAAAGTTCTGGGAATACAGCCTTAATTGCCAAGGTTACAAGGTCACATGGGCACATCTTACCCTATCAGGAGTAGTGTTACAGCTCTCTCATGGAAATCCTAGTCAACCAACTAGATCGACCTAACTCCCTGGGGGTTCACGCTAAATAGCTGTCAGCCGAGCAGACATGAAAGTTAATTACCCTCTTACAGCTTGTGGTAGGCGGGACGGACATTTAAGCCAGGTTATCTGACAGTTATCTAGTGAGACTCCCCCGGGGATAGATCAATCTAAAATCTATGGAAATGCACCTTAAGTCAGGGAACTGACTTTTTTTTTTTTGTAAAAACTGGGGCCTGGATTCAGAAACCGCAGCGGCAACCTCTTCAAGCGATTTGTCATCTGTCAACTCTTGCAATTTTATCTAAGGTTTATCAATTTGAGGACTTCCCTTTCATGACTGATTATATTTCCTCTTTGGTTATAGCTGTATGTGTTGCAAGTTATTCATTATAAAGAATTATGAAGTTAAATGCACCTGAAGATGGATCAGAGCATATATTTGGTAGCTCCTAGGCTGAAATGAATATCTTTGTTCTTGGTTTTAAGTTCACCTATGTGTATAGTGTTTTGGACATTGGGGGGCATTTTCATTGAACTTTTAGCTTATTCAAGTACCAATTTTCCAAAATTTAAAACTAGAAACAAAAGAAACTTTGGATTGTCATCTTTTCATTTGGGTTAAATTTCAGCTCTTATTTCTAAAAATAATTATGGAATTTTGATTTTTTTTTATCAATATAGGAGTGAATTCCATCAAGGCAGGGAAGTACAGAAAGGGTGAAATGAAGGGGGGAGGAGAGGAGGGCAAACAAGAGGCAGAAGAGGAAGAAGATACAGCTGTAAAGTATGTTAAGTTCAGTTTATTATTTAAATATAATTATCACACGGCCAGTGCTTCAAACAGGATAATTGCACTAGTATTTCGCATACACACTCACCTGTATGTTCTTAAGCTTCGATGCATTTATCCCATTTTTCCAAACGCCAGCAGTGGGATAAGTCAGTTACAAGTATGCGCCAGAATACACTCTTTTATGTCACATACAGTGGACGACTTCTGTTGTAACTACCAGTACTTTAAATTTGATATACTTTTATACATACTGCATTAAAATAAAGCACATGTTAAAAATGCTTTAACTAAAGCATAAATTTTTCACTGTGTTACTTAAAAAAGACAGTATGGGTTAATGAGGACTATCTGTTCAACTTTTGGTGCAAAATCGCTGTAAAACAAAATAATTTCTAATGAGAAACATCATACTTTCAGTGAAGACTCCGAGTCACAAAAACAAGGACTGTTTGGGGAGGAAGATGAAGAAGACGAGGAAGATGAGTTGTTTGGGAATCAGCCTGGAAGAAAAAACACGGACTCAGATTTGTTCTCTGATACTGCAGCAGACACCGAAGGTACAGATTTTAACTAATCTCGTAACTCTCCCCACCCCCCCCCTTCAAAAAAAAAAAATAAAATAAAGTTAAGGAATGATAAGTAGTACCAGTATACAGTCCTTGTTTGAAAACCAGCTCGATTTGATAATTTTCACAGTTGTTCTGTGGCATGACTAGATTTTAACTTTCCTCGCCCTCTTGAGCATTTCTGGAAATCGCATTCTCAATTTCATTTTACAATAAGCATTAATCTTTTGATTCTCTCATTAATTTTTTTTTTAAATCTATAGAGTCAAACAAGTTATTTGAAGACCCAGACCTTGGAGGTGGCATTATAGAGGGTGAAGCAGATGACCTATTTTTGGTGGCAGGTGCAGAGGTCAAGGTCACTCCTCAGCAGACGATAGTAGAGGATAATTCAGATTTATTAAAGTGAGTTACAGGGATGAGACTACCATTCAGTGAACAAGTCGTAAAAAACGGTATGGGATCTATGGGGTTGCCAAGGAAATTATATTTTGGCTCCCAAAAAGTCAGAATTAAATCTCCCCATAAAGATCTTATCCTTAGTGTGAAAGATATGTTGTTTGTGTTTGAAAACGCCCAGTGCAGGTGTTATAATTGCTCAGACTCCTCAAATTTATATACCTGATGTCAGTATTTCCTTTTGAAATGTAAAGGAATACATGGTGGATTTCTGTGACTGGCCAGTCATTATAACTAAATTATTTAATATTAAGAAATGTTCCAAGCGCAGATAATTATGTATTCAAACAAAAATAGACTGTTATCACTGAACTTTTTCGAGCATTCCATCTTGTTTTTTTATTGCAGCATTGAAGACGATCTTGATCAGTTGATGAAAGTAAGCTCCAAAAAACCAAAGCCAAAACCAGATATAGCAACCAAACCATCCTTAGCAACCAAACCAGCATTAGCAACCAAACCAGCAGTAGCAACCAAACCAGCCATAGCATCCAAACCATCTGTGGCCAAGAATACAAAGCCAGTTTTACCGGCAAAGCCAAAGCCAGGAGCAGATTCGAAGCCACAGTTGTCAGCTTCCAAAGAGGAGGATTTATTTTCTGCTCCGGATGTGTCTTCAGATATGGGTACAGATGACATTATGAAGTATATTGAAAGCCAGACATCTCAATCTGAAGCTGATTTGGACTTGTTTTCATAATTAAAAAAAAAAAAAATCTGCTAAAATACTTATTGCAATTGCCATGCATGGTTACCCCTTTTTGTTGGTCTTTGCCCAGGGTGTCAGGGCACTAAAAATGAAACTATTCTGCAAAACAATTAATTACCCCGTAGCAGCTTCAGTAGGCATGACAGACATTGAAGCCGCTTAAGTTGATTGCAATTTAGTGAGAATCCCCTCTCAGAGATAGATCGATCCACAGTTAGTACAATAGGGTCTGGGAATGGTCCCTTAGCTTTGCGGTATTGCTGATGTGGGTTATGTTTGAAATCAAGATTGAGCTGGCAATAACAAAATCCAGAACTTAAGGTACTGGTCTCATGCACGTGCCTAAACCCGGATGACACATGCGTGAACACACGCGACCAGCAGAAATGGTTTAACCGTGCATGCGCATCATTATTTGTGGTAAGGCGAATACAATAAGTGTCATTCAATTTTTTTCAAAATATGCATGATGTATCAAGTAGAATTATGTTAAAAATAATTTTAAATAATTTTTTTAATCCTTTATAATGATAAGGGTGCTCAATTTTCCACCCCTTTTAAATCAAAGTTTGTGTTTTGGAGATTGAAAGTTTGAATTTGTAAATTTTCACTGATCACATCTTGCTCAGAACAAAACCCAGTTTTTCGTTTGTCGGAAATTTAATAGATCGTTTGATATGCTTTAAAAGTGTTTTCATACATAATTTTATATGCACCGATGCTTTTACATAGGGATCAGATCATAACTGTGATATTGTAAATATGTAATTGTGCAAATTTTGCATATAACTGATCCAATATTATTTTGAAGAAACTGAATCCATATATTAAATTTTTTAATCTAACTGGATTTATGACATACCTGAAGACTGTATCTTCCATAGTTAGTCTGTTGAAAAATTAGTAACTTGGAACTACATATTCTCAGTCTTGTTAACCCTAGATTACATTTGAAATGCGATGCCTGTACGGCACAAGTATACTGCTTGCAATACCCTTTTCATACGTCTGAGCGGAGGTAGACAGTGGCCAATGTCGCACCGAATCGTAGGGATTTAAGGCCATGTAATGTAGACATACTTGGCGTAGCCTGTAGCTCCTTACGATTTAAAAAAATTTGTATGGACAATTTCGTCACACAGCGCCTGTGTAAATTTAATCCAGGCTTGAAGTCACTTCAACTTAGCATTAGTCCAGTATTAGGTTACAAAGCTTCTACGTAAAATATAACTAGGTGACTAATCAACATAGTATATAATATCTAATTTGTTCAATTATGTGCCATATTGACTATCATTTCCAGAATAATCAATATAACAGTCTATAATTGCCAAAAGAGGTGTCTTTGTGTGTGTGTGTGTGTGTATGCTGGGGGGAGGGCAAGGATTAGATATTTTGCCTCACTTAGATCAGAAAATGCATGACATAGGAATTGGTTATTTCTTGTTTCATTTATCATGACATATTTGGTAAAGGAGGTGGTAGGAGGCGTTAGCATTTGATTGTTGTGTCCCCCCCCCCCCATTCTGTCATTGTTATCATATTTCACATTAAGATGGTTCTATTTAGATTTATGTTAACAGTTGATGAACTGTAATTCTAACTTCAAATGTCCATGCCCATAAGTGCTTTTTATTGCATAATTCTGATCTTTAGTTTGGAGATGACCAGAAAAGTTAATTATTATGAAAATGTGCATACGTGTTCATGGTGAAACCCTAGAAAACATAGTGATGTTATTTAAGTTGATGTTAATTTTTGGTACAATTTGCTGTATGTTGTGTTTTATGGTGACACTGAATGCTCACTTTCATGAAGCATTTTTCATTGAAGAGTCATAATTATTTTTTTCCATTATATAATCATTTGAATATGTAAAATGGTGGTCAAATAAGTGCAATAAATTCATATTTTAATTATCACCAATGTGTTGTTTTATCATTCTAATATTTGTTTCTAATGTACATCTTTTATAAAGTCACTGTAGTAGAAGAATAAAGATTGATAAGATTTAATTGATGAGTAAATCCAAATCCTTACTTCCCGTTCATTTAAAGATTATGTAAATGATTGGCCGCTTTTTAAGGCAAGTTATTAATTTTTTTTTTTGTAAATTTACAAATTTTAACGTATTAAAATATATCCCCATGTAAAAAGGGTTATTGGTATAATTTGTAGTTATGCTACCTGCAAATCTCATAAAAATTCACGCCATATTTAAATCCCACTTAAATAAATAAAATACATAATTAAATAAATAAAGATATCTTTTTCAAAAGCCAGTAACTTTCCACTATTCCATAACACTGGGAAATCAGTTGTAATAATTAGCCATTTTATTATATGATACATTAAATTTTAAGTATCTACAAAGAAAATGATACCACTACGTACATTAATAAGGTTTTACTATTGGTAAAGAAAAACAGTGGGCATTAGACCTTTAATAGAAAAATTCCGCTTGATAGATTATATGAAAATGATACAGAGACCCTACCGTTTCAGGGAAAAGGGTTGATTTTTCAGGAAAATTGAGTTTTTTTTTATTAAAGGTCAAATGCTCACTGTCTGGCTTTAATCCATCACAGCTTTTTATGCTACAGAATTGAGCAAGGCCAGGACATTGATATGATTGAAAATAACCTGACACATTTTTGGGTGAACAGTTTGTGAACACATCGTACATAATTCACAGTCACCTTTTCCAGTCCAGATTCTGAGGGTAATTACAAAAAAAAAAAAGTTTTTTCACCTCAGTTCATGAAATTTCTATCTTCCACAACAGAAAATGACAATGTGCTGCAAAATAATTATAAATCTCATTTAAGTATTGATCACCAATGTATGAATATGTACAAATTTTCTGTTTTATATTCTACTCTTTATAACAACTTTACCCCTTCACCAACTTTACATCCCACCCCTAGAAAAATTAAAATTATAAGAAAATAACATGGCCAGACCAAAGTCATAAGTAGGTTAAATAACGAGGACAACCATTGCAAATTTTGAGAAAACTGATTATTTTACACATCTTTCTTTTTTAATAGAAAATGTGCACGATTCTTGGTTTGGTAAGTGGGAGAAATTTACAAGGGATCTCCCAGGAGTAGCCTTTATACTCTAGTGTTTTTTAAACATAAAAGTCACCCGCATTGTGGATTTGATATTTCCTTCCTGCATATTTTTATTAAACAAGGCAGCAAAGCTGTCAAATGTACAGACAAAAAACAGAAAATAAAGATGCAAAAAAATGTCATTTTGTCAATTTTGATGCAATAATAAATAATGCTCATAATAGCACTGTCAGTCAACACTGAATTTTAATCATGCACAACAGGTAACATGGTCATTAACAGGAGCGGACCCTGAGATATTTTCTGACAGTATTCCAAAGTATCTATGTTGATCCATCCTCCATTTTGATGGTCTTCCAACAGAAAAAAATAGATACCAGTCAATATAAACTTAATAACCTGTCTTCAAGAAGACCCAGAAGATGGTCTCAATCCACCCCTTCAATAAGATTACAGTTTCAGGACCATGAGAGACTATAGTCACATGATGAAAGTCTCAATATTTGAAAAATGATGACAGTGCATAAAATAATTTTATATAATGTTTAAAGACATAAAAAACAATACAATTGCTTATGTGGAAATACAGAAAATGTGCAGAGCCTCGAGCGGATGAGAGTTAAAAGTCACAAATGCAAGTGTTTGAGAAAAAATTGTAAAGGAAAACATAACAAAACTAGAAAACCACCGAGAGTGCAGACCTCTGCCAAGGCAGCAATTGTTGATTATTGTTGATTATTGATTGATTATTGAGCCAGACCACCACTAAAAACTAATCATTGTCCTCTTTGGCCCAATTCTGACAGTTCCTGAAAATTTCAGCAAAATCGGTCCATAACTTTTTGAGTTATGTTGATGACAGACAAACAGGGGTGAAAATATAACCTCCAAGGCAGAGCCTGAGGTAAATATAATT